AAAATATAATTATTTATATATATAGTAAAAAAAAATAAAAAAGGAAGAAACGTATCTTACTTGTTGTTCTAAATTAAACTTCTCTTCAATCGGAGATAAGCGTCCGCTATTTTTTACTTTATCTATTGGACTAATTAGTTCCTCATATTCTGCCATTTTAGCTATAAGCTCTGAAAATTTCTCATCACTAATTTTTTGCTCTTGCTCAAAAAGTTGTCTTTCTTCTTCTAATTTAGCAGTCCAGTAATCTTCACACTCCTCATATTCTATTTTTAGTAAATCAAGACTTCTTTCTAATTCTGCACATCGTTCAGTTAATTGTTTCCTTTCAGCAGCATGAGCTGCTTCAAGTTCTTTTAGTTTCAATTTTAGGAAAACATCGTCTTCAGATGATTCACTTTTTGTTAAACTTGAATTAGTTTTTGCATTAATTTCGTTGAGAACTTTTGCGCAATTAATAACTGAAGTATCTTTTTCCTTGTTTAATTTTAAATGATCGATATTCATATGCTCTTCTTTACGAGGAGGATAATCTCTAAGACTTGAAACTTTGTTCTGTGACAAACTTTTTATATCTTGACCGTTATAATTATCAAAATCACAATTATTATCATTACTACTAGATGTCATTGTTCGTTTAGTGGAAACTGAATTTTTATGTTTAGGAACAACAAAATCTCTTAATGATTCACTTGCTCGTTCCTCGCATTCTGTTTCCATCTCAAACGCAATACTTTTAACAAAATCCGTGGCTTTCACAACCTGTGTATTTGAATTGGATTGTAATTTCATAATTATTTCCAATATTTCATCTTTAAACATGCAGTTTTCTAATGTGCACTTATTACTATTTATTAAAACATATTTTAATTGTTTTATAATTGTATCTTTAAAATGTTTTAAGTCTGTCTTTTTATAGTTTTGCATATTGTCTTCTTCATGAGAATTACAAGACAGCTATATAAAGAACATAAAACATAATTTATATTTATTAAGTAATATAATTTACTAAATGTTACTTACAGGTGTGGAATGTTTTAAAACTACATCTATATCATCTTCTTCCACTACAAATGCTTCTTTATCTGAAAACATATTAAATATTAATTTCTTTATAATAAAAGATGAACTTCAATAAAATGTATGAAATTATTCTCATTACTTTCAATCTCATCTGACTGTATATTTCTTGTTGTATGAGTATCAGGAAGATTACTTTGTCTGCAATAATATAATAGAAAATTGATATTTATTTTTAATTATGTTCCTTATTTAAATTCTTTCTTCCCAGTAGTTTGATTTTATATACACATTACCTTAAATCTTTATTATGACAATTATGCAGTTTCAAATTTCCTATTTCTGCTGTAAGTTCATCATTTTGATCTCGTAAGAGAACTGCTTCTGATTGTAAATTTTTAATACGATCTACTAGGTACATAACTTCTTGTTGATGCTTTACTTCCACATTTTGCATCTAAATAATAGAGCAATAACTTTATCATAAATATAAGAATTATTTTCATATTTTATCTGTACAAAATTCTTTAATTACCTCATCATGTTCTGCTGCCAATATTTTTATTTGAGTTAATAACTCATTATTAGATTGTTTATGTTTTTCAATTTGACTGCAAAGGTTTTCATTTTCAGTTTCTAAAACTTGGTTTTCTTGTAATGTATTTACAAATTTATTTCTAACTTCATAATTCTCTTTTTGTAACATTTGTATTTGATCATCCTTTGATTTCAAAGCTTTAACATTCATTTCTCGTTCAGAATTAAGTTGGTTGGAAAGATCTTGTATAATTTCAGCATGGCGTTGTTCAATTTGCTTCCGCAAATTTTGAACAATTTCTTCTTGTCGGGTATGTTGTTCATCAATCTCTTGAGCAAGAGTGTTTGCCCGTTCATTAGCTTCCATAATATCAGTACGTAATTTTTCTTTTTCACCGTTTACATTTTCTACCGCAAGACTGAAAATATACGAATATTTTCATTTGTTAATTACATTTATTTCATTTAAAGTAATTTAATAATTTATTTATTCAGATAATTTGCAATACTTACTTTAAACTATGTAGTTCTTCTTGATATAATATAAGAACATCTCGTAACAACATTACATGAGATCGAATTGCAGAATGGTCTAATGAATCATTAAAATTTTTCAATTCGTCACATAGAGTAGTTGTTAAATCAGTTAAAGACATTTCTGACGTTTTAAGACCTCCATCCGTTAATAAAGACGTATTTGTAATATTAGAAAGTTTCCACGTATCCCGAAAAGTATTACTATTTGTGATGCTACTATTCAACAAATAAATACAATTTTTTACAGTATAATATTAAATACGTAAAAATAAAAATCCCATAAAATAATAAAACATGCACTCATACAATTGTAATAATAAAACCTGCATAAAATATAGCAATTACAATGTAATACCTAGTTTTATGAGGTGTATGTATATCAAAGTTACATTTTCTAAAATCTAATTTAGATAATTCTTTTGTAGACTCGGTATTTTTATCTAATGTTAATTGATCTTCCATTGTCTTATTTTGGAATATAACTAGAAATTCGTCCAAACTAATTAATCCATCACAATTCTGGTCCAGTTTTTCGAAGATGCACTGTGTAATCTGTAAAAAAGTATTTTATATATTACTTTAAATCATACAAATAACATGTTCTATTGCATTAACTTTTATATTAAATAGGAATCAATGTAAGAAATAACTTAATTTTCAATATATGACAACTAAATATTACATAAATAATTAATGAACCATTGTATGTAAAGAACAAATTTGTAATTGTGTAATTACTTGTTTTGGAAGAGCTGGGATTCCTAAACAATTTGATATAAAATACATTGTTGCAGAGTCTACATTTTCCTTTAAACAGATATTTATTTTTTCCCACAAACATTTCAGTCTATTTTCATCCACTGTTACACCTGAAAGATTATAATATACATTTTCTAGTGAAAAAAAATCTTTTTAAAGTAAAATACAATAGATGTCATGTAATGTAAGTATTATAATCACCTGCTTTTGCATTCAAAAAATCTATATTAGAGCTAGAATTATTAGATGTTAAAGGATCACATCTTTTATTATCTATAATATGTGAATTTATGTCACTTTGTAACTCTGTTATATTATCTTTATCTGTATGTATAACTGATTCTTGTGTTTTGTCTAATAAGGTTAATAAAGCAGTTCTAAATTCTTGGAATGATATAGATTGCTTCTCTTGTTTATGTTGTTGAATGCATGATTTTAATTCTTCACTCTGTTCTGTGAGATGTAATTTATGGCATAAACTAAGCCACTTATCCTCATGTAATTCAGTTTCTCCTTTTATTAAACAACTTTGAAACACAGCATAAAGCTGTTGTTCATAAGGATCATCATTGTGTTCATCCATGGCATCCTTTCATTGTTCTTTGATATGTTATGAAATATAATACATCTAAAAATATAAATATAGTTCATACAATAATTAACATAAAAATTAAATTAAATTTATACAAT